TTTTTGATATATAATGTTGTTATATTTTTTAGCAAAAAACAACGACTAACGTTATGTTCCACTATTTCACTAAATAAAATACTTTGTCAAACTAATTTTCTAGTTATTTTATGTTATCTGTGTATTTTGATTACAGCTTGTATTTATAATTTTGTGAAACAACGTAAAGCCGTACGATGACCTATAGCTGTTAATTTCTGTGTCATTTTGTCTCTTGTGGAGAGTTGTCTCATTGGCGATCATACCACATCTTCTTTTTTATAGTACATTTTATACCCCGTAATTCCAACATAATTATATCATTTTAGAGTATAGATGTTAACTTTATTGAACTGTCTTTTCCTTGTGGAAATTTTACTTTAAATGTACACTTATATACTTGTATGTAGGGTATCTTTAATGAACTTCAAATATAAAAATGTTACCAATTTATTTTATATACTAAAACAAGCCTTATCCTACAGTTCGACAGGCTAAATATCTGCTTCAATTGTGATAACAGTATAACAAGTTCTCTGAGCAACTGAAGGATAGAAAGCATAAATAGATCAGATAAGTGCATGAAGCAAAGTCTCCACATTGTCCTTTAAACGTTATTGAATTAATAGGTGTGTCCTCTTTCCTGTGTCACTCTGAAATCTATCTATTCTCGCGGACAGATATAAACACTTTCGCTTAAGTTAATATTCCAGATTAGATTTTTTCAAGTGTGAAGAGCTATCACATATATGCATACTATATTAACAGGTAAACAATAATGATAAAATTAACACAGTATTGAATTACTACAATACATTTAGAATAAAATAAATAAACGTCTTTTCCATTGACATTCTTCCTGCTTAAACATAATTAAACAAATATATAGGATACATGTACATACTATGACACGGTTGGGTTTGGTTTCTGTTATATGAAAGGAATATGTCGACTAAAACCAAAACGCATTTCAGAACAATTTTGGGTCATAGATAAGGAAGCACACCAGAAAATTCGACATTTATTTTTCTTTCCTGTATTTCTTCAAGAGCCCTTATAAAACGATCTCTCAAGGCAATTTAAATAAATACTTACAATTACACACGAATAATACATTTCAGACTGAAAGTATTTCATTTGAAACTACTTGTTTGTGAATCTAAAGCGTGAAATTGTGAAATATAAGATTTACAGATGAGTAATTTACGGTTTCATTATGTCACAACTTTACTCTTATCTGACAAAAGAACAACGGATTTGCGAGATGCCACATATTTCAGAAAATATACTTAGTTCTGACGCAAATTTTGAGTATCATCATATGGAGAGATGCAAACACGATCTGTTCAACGAAATGTTTTGAGATGAATCTCTCTCTTTGTAACACACATTTTGCATCTATTCAAACTTACTGAAAACTTAGTGCAGAGGATCATAAACTTATTGTAAAACTTACTATAAAAGGATACAGATGGCGGAAATGAATGAAAAAAGTAATCCTATAGTCATGATATATAAATGATCATAAATGTTTATAGAAAACCGATTGCTCAAAAGTTTTGATTTTTACTTATTACAAAGTTATGATTCTATTATGAAGCCTAAGCCTTACATTAGACTGGTTTTGCTTCATCTATCCTCCAACTCCTCTGTATACTATTTCCATAATGACACCAAGTAATTCCACCGGCTGAGGATCACTTATATTTTGGTATACGGAGATTCGCCTATTTCAATTATGTTCCAGAAGAGTTATTGTTTGGATATAATAGTTAAACTGCTTCGAGTTGCATTTTAAGAACACATACTATAATTTAAGAAATGGCTATATATAAAAATAAGAAGATCGATGTGCTATGGATGTCAAGCAGTATAAGTTTATACGAACTATTGCTTCTTTCTTTTATTATTTTTTTAGTTGTTTATTAATCAGGTTTTTTGTCGAACCTTAACAATGAATTGTAAGAGATCATTAACCATTGACAATTACAGTATTATTGTCATTCTGTTTACAATTCATATACCCATATCAAGAGGTCATGTATATATTGGGGATAAGATGTCGCTTATCAGACAGTTAACAAAACACATGAAATCTTGCCAATCGGGTGTATAATAGAGATCAACATCGCGATTTGTCATGTCCATTAAAAATGGGCTGCATTTACTGAAAAAAAACGGGTGTTGGTATTGAAAGACAGTTTACAACCCACAAAATCTATCAACTGGTAAACTTGAAAGTTCGGTGTATAACCTGTTACTACTTTATTAACATATAAGGCTCAGGTTTGAACTATTGAGATTCAACATAAAGAATCAATTTGTTCATCGGTGAACGCCTATACTATGTTTCAACTGTCAACATAAAAGATAGGAATTTGAGGAAGTTAAAAGGTCATATGATATGTTCATGTCCGTTCAATTGACAGTATGAATAGAAGATATTCAATAAAAAGGATTCGTTCACTACCCGAAAACTATCAACGATGTGAAAATTACTGGGTTTGAATAACGTTTTCACAGCTTTAAAATTTTACGTCTTCAAATTTTATAGTTTGAAATCGTTCATTCAAATCTTAAGTTGAACGGTCCGGCAAGCGATAAGTGTTGCCTCTGACTTATGAATGGGGCTCTGTTACAGAGTTATGCGTATATGAATAAATACGCATAAATATATGAATAAAAAATAAAAAGAGAATATACGCGTTTGAACGTGGCAAAATTAGAAGGATGCGGTTGAACCTCTTAGGTTACTCTCTATAAAAATAAAAGAGCATCCTGAATTTGATAGTTCGTGTTGGGTTTTTTTACTGTTTGATACGAAAAAAGAGATTCAATGGGGATACCTTATAAAATATTGAAATATATGTTAATCATGAAGAAAAGTTATGTTTAAGATGTTTGTTTTTTTGCTATTAAACCTCTTTTTCGTAATGAAGAAGGAATTAAAAGATAACGAAATGAAATCTAAGCATTTAAATTCAAGTGTGTGTCATATTTTTTTCATATATGTCGTTTCGCAGGCGAATTCATGCTTTGTGCAGTGGTATCACATTAAGTAATACACGCATCTCTTCACAAAGATGTAAAAAGCCTGCATTTGTTGAGATAAATAAACGCACAATTCACTGAATATAATGTGTGTGTCCACATTTATAAAAAGTGCACACTCGGATGTACTGAGATATGTTCAAAATAAATCTCAAAATCATTCAAGCGGTCATGTACTGATGTGACTTTTATATCATTTTTTTGTGCATGAGACATTTTCAACATTTAAAATTCATTAGACACAATCGCTTTCACCTGAGAGATAGTGTGTTCAAGATTAAGAAGGAAAAGAATTGTGAGTTCAAGGAAATAAAAAAGCATACTTCCTTAAAACTCATTGAAAATTGAATTTAATAACCGAAAATCATACTGTAATCTGCCCTCTCATTTTCGTTATTCTCGTGGCTCCTTAATTTCATCTTTTGAATTGAAACAGTCCCAAAACTTTATTTGAACCACTTTTTCACTTTAAAAACAAGGAAATTATTTATGTAAATTACATGTCAAAGTACATGCCTCGTTCCCTCGAGACATAATTATTAAAATCTATCTTACATTTTATTGTGAAAACCTGTAGTTTTGCATAATTAAATAAATGTCATAAATAATTTTCTTACTAAAATTTGCTGACAGAACAGTCCACACCCACCACCCACCCATTAATTTAATTGTTGAACATTGATATACATTTTCATATATTACATTTCTGAAACAGTTTGTATGACAAAGTTTAGTTTTTTGTGTTCTGTTGTAAAGTCAGTATAAGTCGCATGACCTGAAACTACATTTACTCCTGGACTACGAGTTGAATTTTTTTAAAGTTGATACTATTTTTGAAGTGTATGGTGTATAGATGATATTCCAAATTTAATAGGACTCGGTCGGTATCCGCGTTGATCATATATGAACTTGACATATCATTGCCCTTAAACTAGTACAAGTAATTAGTTTATCAATTTTACATATTTGAATTTGTGAGAAACATTACATCTATCAAATACTTTCTGATCACCTGTAAATTTCAGGTGGAAGTTTAACCCATTTAAATCATTCAAACAACGGGAAAACCGCGCCTCCCAATAGTCGGATAACCCTATATTATATACTTAATCCATGTTGACTGACCAACAGGTTTGACTAAGATAAAGTACGTCGTGATCTTTGTTAACGTGAAATTGGAAGTTTAATATAACAAAAGGTTAGCTTTCCCAGTAGAATATTTATTTGACAATAAGATACAGAAGTTACCAAGTGGAAAATCAAAAGTACGAAATAATTGGGTTTTTATAATAAGCTGCATAGTCATTGAAAATTTACGAGTTTATAGAAAGATTGTGTGTGGTTTTTGTTATTCTATTGACTTTGTTTTATTAAAAAATTAAAAGTTCTATTGACTTTGTTTTATTAAAAAATTAAAAGTCGATATGTTTTTGTGTTTATATACAATAACATTTGTAATTAAAAGCTATGATTAATAGGCTCGTAAACTAGGTATATTTTTCTAAAGCAAACTATTTCCTTATATAATTAGCTACAGTTGTGGAATAGGAATTGAACGGTTTATTCAATGCTATTGATACATGTACATGTATAGTGATAAAACTCGGGATGAGCAATTGTATCATGTCCGACCCCATGATTTTGCGTTTCAACATACAGCAAAATTAAAGGCAATGTTAAACTATAGGCTATACAATTATGGACATAAGGAAGAATTGTTCAAATGTTACAGTTTACATCCTTTTCGTGGCCTAGGGGGAATATTCTTCTTTTCGTTGTTCCACATTGAAACAATCTTATTTTTGCTTATGCAACTGTTTATGAATTGGAATACTGCTAAAGCATGCACTCAAAACAATGGAGAAAAACTAAACTCCACATTCATTGATTATATAAATTTATTCCATTTATCATAATATTGATATTTTGTGTATAAAGTTTTGAATTAAAAACAATATTATTTCACTTACCTTGGGCAGGTGAAGTTTATTGTATGTCCTTTTCTTTTATGATAATTAATTATACAGTAATTATGTACGTTTCAAACTTCCATAGAATACTAATTACAAAACTTTCGTTAAGATAAATATAGACATTTAAATTTCACGACTCATCTAAAACACGTGTGATCTTTCTTGAAAAAATACATCCACCTCCGAATGATATCATAAACAAAAGATAAAAATTCCAATTATTGTTTCAGTAAATGACACATCCTTATTTTTATCTACATCTGCATTCATTAAATTTCGCCTGAATTAACGAATACACACCCTGTATTATACAGAACTAGTAATGTGTACCCCTAAAGCAAGTCAACTGAGACTATTTAAATGACAAAAACTAAACTATAAGCTCGACAAAGTGTAAATCTATTTAAATATTTACACTATATCCTGAACTGAACATGGATGTTTATTTCTTAATAATTCATTGACCAAACTATCACGAGGGCTTAAATAACTTCCTATACAGATCAATGTAAATTTAAATAGCTGGTTTTGAATACTTTCACTCTATTGCACAGTTGCCACAGATATCTAGCTATAAAACTTCTATTTAGTAAATATTTGATGGAAACTGTTGCTCTTAAACTAGCTAGTAAATAAATGCAATACATGAACACAGCCGCTTGTAAGCTGCAATAAGCAAAAGTAACGTACGGATGGAAAAATTTATAACGGATAGTTTGACTAAAAAACGTAATCAACGCAAAAAATAATGACAAACAATTTTTATTAATCTGCAAAACAATTAAGAATATACAAAACTAAGAGGAACTATTTTGAGATGACAGAAATCATATGTTTTCACTACCACTGGGTCGGCAGTGTGTTGGTGGACTGTCAGTCTTAGAAGGAACGATACACCAAGTCGCCAGTCACGGCATGGTTAAAATCATTGCAAATGTCCAGCTCTTAAATGTAGTTATAAAGTTTGCATCTGCATCCAGAAAAGTTACTTAATAAATTGTTGACTGTACTTTTTCAGAATAAGCGTTAAAGTGAATTTATTTTCCATTAAAAATTGAAATTCTGTAGTTCATTCACTTCACTTTTTCATTGTTTGTGATAAATACACGACTAGTTATGAAATTTTGGTTGTCTTTCAAGTAATATTCGGCATGGATTCAATTTTTACATTTATACAAAAGCCGCTAGGTATTCATCACATTCGCACGAAGCTTTATTCATTACCCTTTCAAAACTTCATTCTCTGTACAACTTATGTTTGGAAATCACTGTTACAAACCCTCATTCAAACCAATAAAAACTTATAGCTATCATTTCGGATATTGCAATTGCAAGTCACAGACCTTTCAAACCAGTTCGCGTTGGAAAAGATGAAAAGGAGAAAAGATCCTTTCTTAAACTTTCCTTTGCCAACAAAGGTCTCGATGCTATCAACTTGGGCAATATCCTTCATCATAAATCAGTTCACTCGAAAATACCTCCCTATTTTAAAGATCAGTCTGTATCATTTCTTATACCTATACCAAACCAATTGCAACTAAAATTTTCAATCACAAACACGTGTTGCAGGATCTCAATATTGACGACTTCAAGTCTAAACCTCCTGATTGCACCTGTGCTAGTTCCCCATTCATATCTAATCCGGCTGGCCACGTTATTATTGGTGACCTAAACATTGTCAATAACACTTCTCTGGGAAATATGTTATCCAAAGGCCCGAAATATCGTGAGCCTAAATCCATCAATTGGAAACACAACTTCAAAATACTGATGGATTCAGTCAAGGATTATGCCAGGCAATGGGTTAAACGCGAGAAAGAAGACGTAGATACTATTTCCGAATGGATTATGGCTATAAGGTCGTTGATACAAATCAGAATTAAGAAACTGAATGGGTCTATGAATACTCATGCTACATCAATCTTTAAAGACCCAAATGTTGCAAAACGCTTGTCCTACCTTCATGACAAATATGTTGTTGTCCCCGCAGATAAAGCCCCAAAACAACATCGTTTTTGTGTGTAAATCACATTACGTAAACTGCTTGATAAATGAATTTGGTATTGACTTGACAATTCACTTGGAAACTCAACATATACCCCACGGCACTTACCAAAGAGTAAATCCTGGATAATCATAGGTCTGTTCTATGTTCCTTTAGAATTTCAACCAAAGATGAATGACTGGATCTTCCATCACTGTATTGGATACCTAAACTACATAAGTGTCCTTGCAAACAACGTTATTTTGCTGGTCTTCCAAGTGCTCCACGAAACCTCTTTCTAAATTATTAACATTAATTTTATCAGCAATCAAAGCCGGGCTTCAAAAATATTGTGAAACTACCTATTCTAGAGGTGGCGTGAATCAGATGTGGATACTAAACAAATCCAAAGATCTTTTAGAGTACATACAATCTAAGACTCTTTCATCTTGCAATAGTATTAAAACATTTGACTTTTCTACACTTTACACAAGTATTCCCCATTCCAAATTAAAAGACAAATTGAAAGAGTTGGTCCTGCTTTGTTTCATAAAAAAAATGCCCAACGTAGATACAAGTATCTTGTCTTAGGGAGGGATAAATCCTACTTTGCAAACAGTCACTCTGATTCAAACAAAAAATGTTCTGATTCAGAAACTGACATTATCAAGATGCTTGATTTCTTGATTGACAACATATTTGTTACGTTTGGAGGACGTGTTTTTCAACAAACAATCGGCATTCCCATGGGAACCAACTGTGCCCCTCTTCTTGCCGACTTGTTCCTTTATTCATATGAGGCTGACTTCATACAGGAACTTCTTAGGAAGAAAGAAAATAAGTTAGCAGTATCCTTTAACTTTACTTTCCGCTATATAGATGATGTTCTCTCACTAAATAATTCAAAATTTGGTGATTATGTTGAACGATTCTATCCAATCAAACCTGAGATAAATAAAATTGAGAATGGAAATGGGGAATATGTCAAAGAGACAACAACCCGACCAAAGAGCAGACAACAGCCGAAGTCCACCAATGGGTCTTCAATGCAGCGAGAAAATCCCGCACCCGGAGGTGGTCCTCAGCTGGCCCTAAATAAAATTGTGTGCTAGTTCAGTGAAAATGGACGTCACACTAAACTCCAAAACATATAAATGAACTAAAATTAAAAAAACATACTAGACTAACAAAGACCAGAGGCTCCTGACTTGGGACAGGCGCAAAAATGCGGCGGGGTTAAACATGTTTTGTGAGATCTCAACCCTCCCCTATACCTCTAGCCAATGTATAATAAAGAAACACATATCAAAAGTCTGCCTCATATCTTGACTTACATCTAGAAATTGACAATGGGGTCGGTTAAAAACAAAAATTTACGACAAAAGAGATGATTTCAGCTTCCAGATTGTGAACTTTCATTTTCTATGTAGCAACCTTCCAGCAGCGCCTGCATACGGAGTATATATCTCCCAGTTGATACGATATTCCAGGGCTTGTATTCCCTGTCATGATTTCCTTGATAGAAGGTTGCTGCTCACAAGAAAGCTACTAAACCAAGAGTTCCAAGTGGTGAAGTTGAAATCATCCATTAGTAAATTTTACGGACGCCATCACAAGTTGGTTGGCCGTTATGGAATATCCGTTTCACAGATGATAGCGGATATGTTCCAAATAGCGTAACTACAATCCCGTCCTTTTTCCCCGAATGTGACCTACCGAATTAGAATTATTACCGGGTTTGTACTAACATGAGCAACACAACGGGTGCCACATGTGGAGCAGGATCTCCTCACCCTCCCGGAGCACCTGAGAACACCCCCAGTTTTTGGTGGGGTTCGTGTTGCTCTGTCTTTAGTTTTCTATGTTGTGTTTTGTGTACTATTGTTTGTCTGTTGGTCTTTTTCATTTTTAGCCATGGCGTTGTCAGTTTATTTTCGACTTATGAGTTTGAATATCCCTTTGGCATCTTTCGCCTCTCTTTTAAGGATCCCACAGGAAATAAGCTTATGGCTTTTCCACTCTCTATACTACACTTCCTCACAATCTTATCAAACAGACGTTTTCTTTTTTAATCAAATGGTCCTTTGAAAATCTGATTGTAAGTTTATTTTCTGCAACTCCTATAAAGACCTCTTCTGTGATGTAAAAGGTAAATATCCTAGATACACTTACTGGAACAGAGATGAGGTGGTTAGAGCTGTTAATTCTCTCCTTGACAACATTAATGCACGTTTCGGCAAAAGTCTATCGACAGGTTGTAGGTATTCCTATGGGCACTAACGATGCCCCCTTTATAGCAAACTTGTTACTGTGTTGTTATGACCAAACTCAATACAGATCCTTCTAAACCCCATTTAATATAAGAGTGCACACGCTGAAATGTCTCGATTGCTTTACTGATAATTGAATTTATGTTTAAAATCTGTAATATGAAGGTTCTACTATAAATATCGCATGAACTTAACATTATCAATCCTTAAAATAAGGTCATGAACCATGGCAGACAGACATGTATACCTTAAAATCATTCCATATACCAAATATAGTGGTTCTATCGCTTATAGAAACCCCCCCAAAAAAAACAAAAAAACCCAGATCAAACCTTAAAATCTTATTATTGACCAAGGAACCACGAAAATGAGGTTAAGGTCATATGAACCCTGCCAGAAGGTCATGTACATCTTACAATCATTACATACACAAAATATAGTTGACTTATTGCTTATAGTGTCTGATAAACTGACAAAACCACGAAAACTCATCATTAACCAATGAACCATGAACATGAGGTCAAGGTCAGATGACACCTGCCATTCAGACATGCACATCTTACAATCATTCCATACACCAACTATAGTTGACATATTGCTTGTAGTATCTGAGATACGGACTTGACCACGAAAACTTAACCTTGATCCCTGATTTATGAAATGAGGTCGAGGTCAGGTTAACCCTGTCTGACAGACATGTAGACATTGTAAGGAACCAATAAATCAAAAACAGCTATCCTATTATTCATAAAAGTAAGTATTTCACATGACAAAAAAAAAGAGTATTTTTTATCAAGCAGTTGGTAAACAATGAAAATTAGGTCAAGGTATCTGCAAACAATGTGTGAAGCATCCAGGTCTTCTAACTTCTGAAATATACAAATAGTTTACGCCGTCTCTACTAAAATTTAAAACAAAATGTACGATCTTTTCTGGGTTTTTTTTTATTGGACTGTGATGTTCCTTTGGCCCCTTCTTAATTGTAGTGTCAATATTGGTAAACTTGTAGCTGATTTTTTGTCATCTGTGAACTGATGGTATTAAATAATTTTAATTTTCTCTGGACTGATTTTGATGGCAAATTTTTAGGTGTACCTT